ATATTTATCATTCTATTTATCATCGTCAGATAATTTAAAATTTTAATTTATGCAATGAATTTCAAAATTTAAATTTATCCAATGATAAAATGTAAGATTGTAAGCATTACTACTTAGACTAGTAAGCAAAAATAATGAATTATTTCAGCCGTGATTTTGGAAGAGACAAAAGACATTGATTAGAGTGGAATAAAAGTGGATTAGGGAACACGATAAGAATAATTTTTATTTTTTTATAATTAATCTAAGAGGGTTGGATATCATTTCACAACAATTTTGTGTCGTTTCCGGCTCTTTAATCACATTTTAGTTTCTTTAACTTCAATGGCATGCTGCATGCATGATGATGACTGATGGGGACGCCTAAAAAGAACCCTAATTAATTAGCGTGGTAATACCACATACACATCATCCACTTGCTGCAGTATGATTCGGGGATTTTCGTTTCAGACTAGCCAATCGATGCCCTAGATTGTACTTTAATATTTATGAATAGAGTAATGTTACAGAGACTAAATTTATAGACTAAAATTACAAACTACATGATATGTCACCAATAAGAAATGAGTACGTTTATCAACGTTTAAGTAATAATCCAATCATTAACTTACATGTCATTTAGCTTACAAAATTTAATTTACAAATTTAATCTTCCTAGCATTACTCTTATGAATAACATTAGTTTGGTTGTGTAATCATCTGACAATAATGTTAAAGACACACTAACTTACTACACTAAGTTTTAAGATACCAACTAATGTGCCCAGTTAATTTGTTTCATGTACTTCTGAAGTTCTTATAGGCACTCTAACGTTTTGGAGTGCCAATAACCTTTGCAACCTAAAGTTTGTAGTAATAAACTAGTATAATCGCATTATGTACATGTTGTACATGAAATGTGAATTAGTAGCTAGTTAAATGATATGTTTAAGAATCACAACGTTAATGCATGTGTAAAGTGGTCTGACAATTTACAAGTCCTAAATATATAATATGTTTTTAAAGACAAACGAGGAGAGATATATATGGGAGAGATGCATGATGAAGAAGGGTTCGAAAAATACTAGAGAAATACAATTTTAAATTATTTTCATTTTCTAAAGTTTTTATTACATTCATTCTCCATTTCTCTATCTTCCCCTCTCTCCATTCTTTTCCCACTTTTATCCCAAGTATTTTTCTTCTATATCTCTATTTGATGAAATTATAAAGATATAGTTTTCATTTCCTTTAATATAGGTAAGTATACTCTATTATTGTATACAACGGTTTCACTTTGAGGGAAACAATATAGGTAAGCTACAAAATGAGTTTGTCAACATAATTAAGTATAGAGTTTGTCATCATTATGAATCAAATATGAAACCTCTCAAGATTAGTTTGGGATTGTTGTCTTTTAAATAAAATTGATTTTTTTTTTTGTGTTTTGAGAAACGGTTGTAAAATAAAGTAGTAAAGTTTGATAAACTTCAGTTGTAGAAGTGCTTTTAGCACAAAAATAATGTATGAGTGTTTAGTAAACTTTTATGTAAATCAGTTGTGATAGCATCAAATGACCAAATGAATATGGCTCGGTCTCCTAAGCTAGAATTTGCAAAGTCGTAAGTTCTAGGCTTTCGTTATTTTTGAGATCTCGATAAGGCTACTTCAAGGAAAAGGCTAAAGGAGGAGGAAACAGATTCACAAATCTCGTTGCTTAATCGCAATTGGAGGCAGAGGCTCGGCGTCGTGGTTTGCTTCAGATCTACAAATCGCTGGGAGGAAACGAGTCAGCAACTATTTGTTTTCATGATTGGGATGGTGATGGGATTAGCAAGGCTATGGCAGATGAACACCGACACCACCCAATTTTGTAGATGAACAGCTCTCGTACAATAAAGAGAGAAAGGAAGGTAGGTTTTGGAATTTTGATAAATTCATTTGATAGGCACTGTTCACTCGTGTTTTGGAATAAAAAGTCTGTTTTTAAAGCTCCATTTTGTTGCTTAAGCTTTTTCACTTTTTCACCCAAAATAGTGAAAAATGCTGATTATAAGATGTTCACCAAACACTAAAAAGGTTCAATTTTTTTTTTTATACTCGCTTCTTTAAAAATTTTAACCGTACCAAACTAGTATTCAATAAGATGAATATCACTAGGCCGTAATGATAAAAACATGTACTCGCATATTATGGAATAACGTGGTTCACCAATGTAACTTAGAATGTGATTTCTCTTGTTCCAAGAAAAAGAATAAACCCTAATTTTTCATGAACATAGACATGACAAATTGACCATGGAGAGTGAGTAGGAGACCCTCTTTTTAGCCGCCCTTGGATCTCTACTACGACGTATGTGTGGTCATTATTCCCACATTACAAATGCTCGAGTTCATGCAAGTCTTTATTTGTGGGTCGGTCGCCCTCCAGAAAGCATGCAATTAAATAAAGGATTAGGTTTTTCAGCACAAGTCCACAAATGAGAGGACTCCATGGCAAAGAGTTCACACTTGGCAAGCACGCCACAAGCACTAGACTGGCTGTATCTTTATCAAATTATTACAGCAATCTTAATATTTTAATCCTAACAAAGATTTGTGTTTGCTGATTAGGACAGTTGCATGAGAGAGACACCAACCTAAGTGACCATGTCCTCCAAAATGTGGGTTTTTATCGATGTTTGTTGGCGTTTAGGTCATAATTATGTCGTTTTCATTAGTGCATTGCAATATCCTTTAACAGATTCTCTGTTGGTATCTTCTTCTTTGCCTGCAACTTGTAGCTACGAAAAGGGTTTCTCCGTCGATCTTTTATCCTTAAATATTTAGGGTATTTTAAAGTTGAGGATTGCTTTTGACAAGTTCATTGTCAGCTGCCATTTTCTTATTAGTTTATGTAAAGAAGGCGGGATACAGCTTCAGACTGCTTTTGTTTTTTTCAATATAATATAATAGTAAACCGGGTCAATCTGCTATACAGTTACAAAATCTTGAATTATGCCATTAGTATTGTTTTTCTTAAAAAAATTTTAGTTTTCATATTCTCTTGTGGGAGTCTAACACAAAAGAGTTTCTTCCAAAAAGAAAATTATCAAACCCTAAACAAGACTTGGTTCTATACGATGTCAGAATGTTTCATCCACTCTTGTAACAGTGAGTTGGACACAGAAAATAATTTTTTTTTCAATAATAAAATACCAATCCCTAAAGAAGATTTGATTGTTTGCGATATGCTTGCATCCACTCTTGTAAGAGTATGACATTGTGTCCAGCCTAGAAAAAAGTTGTCCAAAAACAAAATACCAAACCCTAAGAAGATTTGGTTTTTTTATTTTTTTTATTTTTTATTTTTATTTTTTTTATAAATATGCTTTATTACAAGCGATATTCTACAATAATTTACAAGGATTGTTTGAACACCCGAGGCCCACTGGATGAATAATTTACACTAGTGATAGCATTTAAAGAAGATTTGGTTGTTTGTGATGTCAGAATCTTTCATCCACTCTTGTGAGAGTTTAATATAGGGCATCGAATAGAGAAAAGAGTGTTTCCAAAAACAAAAGACCAAACCCTAAAGAAGATTTTCTTTTTATATTACAAGCGATATTCTATACTAATTTACACTAACGAGAGTAAGGATGGTTTGAACTTGAGACTCAGAGATATGAGGAAAATATCCTAACTACCAGAGCAATCCGCTACTTGTAAAACAAGCGATAGCTTCTAAAGAAGATTTGGTTTTCTGCAATTTCAAAATCTTCCAGGCCAAAGAACTGTAATGATGTTGTGAAATAGCATTGGAACATCATGTTAAGGAAACATTCATCTATATCACTTGTTGATGTTAGATTCCACTTTCCCAATTCATTATTTGGTTATTGTCCTCTTATGGAACAAAATCATGATGCCAGCCATAATCCACAAGATCTTCTCTTATATTTGGAGACAGGTTAAAGACAATTCCAAAAAAAATATATTATTAAGCATATAATCTCTTGAAGGGATACAATGCAATCTATCAAATTGTACAAATATGCCGATAAAAAAGGGGGGGGGGGGGGGGAGATGGAATATTGCTTGCTCCCCATAGAGATGCAAATCTCTTGGTGCTCAAAAACACAAGTTGTAGAGAAAAAGTTGAAAAAAGGAAATGATTCTCGCACAATCTCTTTTCCGCATAGAAATTCATGTTTATTTTTGGCCTTTATTCAATAAAATGAAAATGGTAGCAACAGTGCCTCAACTAAAAATTCGTGACCATTAGTCCCTTTCACTCATCAAAATCTCCCGCTATGGTCTTTTTCATCAATTCCATTAGAACTACTATAAAAATAAGTCACGTGTCACACACGTGATGCTAAATGAAAGAGCAAATATGAAAAACCAACTTTAATCCAATTGGAGCAATGGTCCCTCAACTTTAACCCGATTGTAGCAATGATCCTTCCAACATGATTAATTTTGATGAAATTCTAATGGAGTTGACAAAAACCACTATAGTTGCACGTTTTGATAAGTTAAGGAACCAATGATCATAGACTTTTAATTAAGAGACCATTGCACCAATTTGGTTAAAGTTGAATGATCAATTCTACAGTTTTTTCTTCAATAAATTAAGGAGAAACGTGGGAGAAATAAACAGGACTGGTTCGGGATATCATATCTCGGAAAAAAAAGAAAAAGAAAAAACATATAAACAAGAGAATCAGTCAAAGAATCATTCAAAGTTGTCCATTTGCTGAGAACTGAGGGATTGATAGAAGCAGTAGCAGCTGATGGGCAGAAGTGTAGTGTTCCTTCGCCCATTCAAAGTGAGCCCAACAGGGTCCCAATACAAACACAAACCATTTGAAGTTCACGTGCCCCATGGACCCATCACTTTCCTCCCTCTCAATCTCAAACCAACGGCACCACGGCCAGAGGGCAGGCTTCAGTCTCCCTCATCCGATGCAACTAGATACGGTGATGTTCACATTATGACCACAATATGGATTCCAGGACACCAAACCTGAATCTGATCCGATCATTCATGTGACCAATAAACACGAATATGGGGGGTTCTGGAATACATTCCTGTCATCCGTTGCGTCGAGGCAGAAGCAATAACTCTTACTATAAATGGAAGAAATCATAAAAATTAGATTAGAAAATGTTAAAGAATGGTAAAAGGTGGGATTGTGGTTGCAACTGTTAGAAAAAAGTGCAAAGATTTGTGAGATCTTTCTTGTGACTTTTTCTCCCTTCAACTTGGCTTATGTGGTGTGTGTGATGACTACTCTCTTATAAACAAAAGACCCCAAAAAGAAGAACTAAAAAAAGAAAACCCTACAACTCTTCCACTCAAATTAGGCAGTCTCCAGACGGATTCTAACCGCTGAAGACGATAGGTTGACTCAGCCACCCAAACCCTTTCCCCCCCTTTAAATACCCTCCTCAACCATTTATTTCCTTGCCATTTGTACACCTCTCCTTTTTACTTTTACCCTTTTCTTGCTAAGAAACAACTCAAAACATTAAGCTCCTTTCACCTTCTGCTTCCTCCATCGCTTCTAACCGGGCAAAAAAAATGAGGTATCCACCCATTTACTTCCTCAAACAAATGAACATGCTTATCATCGAAGGCTTCATGGTCTTGCTCGTGAGCTGCTTAACCATTAGAACGAACCTTTGTTCTCCAAACACTCCTTCGTTGAAAACACTTCCCCTCCATGGGCATTTCGACTTCCATGAAGTTCACCATGCAGCTAGAGATTTCGGCAACAGATATCAGTTCCTCCCTGTGGCAGTGCTGCATCCAAAGACGGTTTCAGACATTGCTACTATAGTTAAGCATGTTTGGGACTTGGGTCCTCGTTCGGAGCTCACAGTTTCAGCTAGAGGCCATGGTCACTCGCTCCAGGGCCAGTCACAAGCCCACCGTGGAGTTGTCATCAATATGGAATCACTCAAAGGCCCTCAAATCCAGATTCACACCGGAAGTTCTCCATACGTAGATGCCTCTGGTGGTGAATTGTGGATAAATATCCTGCGTGAAAGCTTGAAATATGGGTTAGCGCCAAAATCATGGACCGACTACTTACATCTAACTATCGGTGGTACTCTGTCTAATGCTGGGATCAGTGGGCAGGCATTCCGGCATGGCCCGCAGATCAGCAATGTCCACCAGCTGGAAGTTGTTACAGGTTTGTTAAACTAAACCAGCGGGGAGGGCAAACATCCGTGGTGATGGTGATATATCACCACGGAAGACAAGACCAACGTCAAAGGTCAAACTTGCTCATGAAGCACGCCATTACTTTGACCTTGGTCTCATGAAAGATGATATAAACGAGTATCTATGAAATTTGTATATTGATCCCATACCATCAATTTTTACTAACAGATGAACTAAAAATGAGTGCAGGAAAGGGGGAGGTTGTAAATTGTTCAGAGGAGCAGAATGAAGACCTATTTCATAGTGTTCTTGGAGGGCTCGGTCAGTTTGGCATCATAACACGGGCAAGAATATTTCTGGAAGCAGCACCTGCAAGGGTAAAAGCCATGTATCATTGAGGCTAATGTGTCAAAACTTAAGCTTCCAGGTGGAGTAGAAAGTGCCAGTTGCTAACCAAAATCTCCATTTTTGTGAACAGGTAAAATGGATTAGAGTCCTGTATTCGGATTTCACGGCATTTACCCAAGATCAGGAGCATCTAATGTCTGCAGAAAATACGTTCGACTACATCGAAGGATTCGTGATAATAAACAGGACCGGTCTGCTAAACAACTGGAGATCATCCTTTAATTCAAAGGACCCAGTTCAGGCCAGCCAGTTTAAGTCAGATGGAAAAACTCTCTTCTGCCTGGAATTGGCCAAATATTTCAACCTGGACAAGACAGATTTAATAACCGAGGTAAGCCGCACAATGACCTACGAGCAGTCTTTAATTCTAAGAAAGCAGGTGGAATTCGGTTGTAAGTTGACTATATAACTAACATCACACTCATACATCTCTTGCTGGCAATGGCATGCAGGAGGTTGATAACTCATTGTCTCAATTAAGCTATATCCGTTCAACGCTATTCGTGTCCGAAGTTGCATACATTGATTTCTTGGACAGGGTACATGTGTCTGAGATCAAATTACGCTCAAAAGATTTGTGGGACGTTCCACATCCGTGGCTCAATCTTCTCATACCAAAAAGCAAAATTCACTCTTTTGCTAAAGAGGTCTTCGGCAATATCCTTACAGAAACAAGCAACGGCCCCGTCCTCATCTACCCAGCTAACAGATCAAAGTCAGTTACATCAAATGTGTCATTATCTCCAAAAGTCCCTCCTATGGCTTGTCTTAACAACTAATCTCTTAATTCCATTTTCAGGTGGGACAACAGAACTTCTGTTGTTATACCGGAGGAAGATATTTTCTACTTGGTGGCATTCCTAACCTCTGCGGTTCCCTCGTCATCCGGAACTGATGGATTGGAACACATCCTAACTCAAAACAAAAGAATTTTAGAATTCTGTGAAACAGCCAAGCTTGGAGTCAAGCAATACCTACCCCATTACGCCACACAGGACGAATGGAAGGCCCACTTCGGTCCACGCTGGGAAGATTTCAAGCAGAGAAAATCTGCTTACGACCCTTTGGCAATACTTGCTCCTGGACAAAGAATATTTCAAAAGGCAATACCCTTCTCATGACAGCTGCGACATGTAAATATTATAAAAGAAGAGGCCCTAAAGGCATGTGGGGAAGTTCCTTAACCAAAAAGGTTATGAGCTACTTTATATCCACGAGCCTTATATGTGTGGCAGGGAGACTGCAAGCGCTTTAAGACAACGGGTAAAATAATTTTATACAAACTAGTAAGTCATAGTTGCAAAGGGACTGGAGAAACACCAGCTCCATAGAGGATGTAAATACTAACTCTTGTAAATATGGCTGAATAATATATGTCATCAATCCATTTCATATCTCCGATCTCTTATCAAATAATTCCTCTCTCCAATGAAAAGAAATAAAATACTCAGAACAAAGCAGGGATCGATTCAGATGAAAGAAAAAACATAGAGAAATAAAAAGGAGAAAAGGACCCAGAAGAACAATTAACCTGTAGTTGCAATCTTCAACTTATTGCCTCCGTCACCTTGCAATAGATTAATATCATATCTTGCTGCAATACATCCGCTAATCTAGGACAACACTAATTTATACGGAATTGTGGCAATAACTAACTCGGAAAGAGCTGGCAACTGCAACTGGTGGGAAGGGGCTTAGACCAACAAAGCATTCATTCAGATAATAAAATGATAATGTACAATATAAAATGACATTAAAGCAATTTATTTGTTGGCCAATTTATTTGCATAGTCAGTAACTTCATTGGAATTTTTAGGCAGGAAATATGACATACAATGTGTGTGTGCGTGTGTCTGTTGTAGTAGCAAAAGGAAATTGATAGAGGTTACCCTTAGACTAGTACTGAACTGTGATAAACCTGATATATAACAGAATATCGTAATGACTGAATTGAAGTATGGAACGCACAGAACAAATAAATTTACTGGTATTCACCCAACTAATTTGAAACAAAGATGCATAATCTTATCCTTCGTTTCCTTTTATTGGTTTTGGTTTTCTTGTTCTTCTCTTAAATTAGAAGACTCACACAGCGCTGCAGGCCGGCATAGATCTCAAACAAAATCATCACTTTATCAGGACCATTTTTCTCTACAAAGTGAGAATTTCCAGTTTAATGGTACCGCTAATCATATATAATATCCATGATTTTTCATTCATGTACATTCGAAGTCAACAGAAAAAAGGATCTATCAAGTAAGTGAATTAAAAAAAGGAGAATTCTTCCATCTTTGTCTCAGAAAGTTAGAAACGTATTCAGTTGTTCAAACAATTCATGTACCGTTTTAATCACTGTTGACTGTACAGCATAGTGATTTTAAAGTTCTTTGACACCAAGACCACCTTCATAATTACAAAATGCAGTGGTTGAGAATGGTTTCCTCTATTTCAAAAACCACTCAAAACACCAGTGACTCTCAGAAGACCAAAATAACCACAATATAAAGCGAAGCTTCAGCTTTACTCATGTTGTTGGACGCTAAGGACCCTTGCTTTTGAAGATGAATTTAAATCGTTCAAACTTCTCACAACGTTAGTCTGTTAAATAAAGAGAAGAGTTCAGTTGAACACAAGTACTCTTTCCTTTTAAAGTACTCAAATATTGACAATATCATTGAATCCACTTTTCAATTATCTGTACAAACCACAGAATCTCAAGAACGATAACGCTAAGTACCTCACTTACCTTAAATAGAATATGGATGTCTCACTTAAAAACTTTGATAATTCTAATATTGCTTCTCCAGCGACTACAGAAAAAGCTGTTGGAAAATCTGACACAACAAAAAGGTCCATTTTCAGTCAAAAGCACCAAACTTCAAGCATTTCATCAGCGCCAATTGACCAGATATACCAATAAGCATAAAAATAACTAGTTATGAAAAGGATCTAACACATAAAAGAAACACTTGCATACGCATTTCAGAGCCACAAGTTTGTGGTCAAGGAGCAATTATTGCCCCATGAAGGGCACATAATACGTCAATGGAATGTGAGTGGTTAGGTTGCTTAGTGCACCAAATTGAAGTTGTACTTCACAGGGTTCTGTCAGACCTGATTCCCATAATGGTTGGATTGGAGATACAACACAACAACACAACAACACAACAACACAACACAACACAACACAACACAACACAACACAACACAACACAACAAAGCCTTTTCCCATTAGGTGGGGTCGACTGTGGGGGGATGCAACACGAAGACTTCCCAGGAGGTCACCCATCCTAGTACTACTCTCGCCCAGTTGGGATCCGGTGCATGTGAGTTAATATGATCACATCCCAAGGATTTGATGTAAGATAGGAATGCCGGTTGTCAATTACCTGACGCCCTCCCCCTCCTCCTTTATCCGGGCTTGGGACCGGCAATGTAAGATAAACTTACACAGGCAGAGTTTTGGATTGGAGATACCTTGGTATAAAAACAAAATACTTAATAGTACTAAGGGCCAATTTAACAGTACTAAGGGCCAGTTCGGTATTGTTGTGCTTTTATAAAAAAAATTGTTTATGCTGTGTCGTGAGAATACATAGCTACATGTTTAGTACAGGACATGTCGGAAAATACTATTTATTTGTCTGTTTGGCAAAAAGAGACAACTTTGACAAAAGAATTTAACCATAAAACAAAATATTGTGAACAAATATTGTGGGGGGATGCAACACAAGGACTTCCCAGGAGGTCACCCATCCTAGTCCTACTCTCGCTCAGACTTGCTTAACTTCGGAGTTCAGCTGGGATCCGGTGCATGTGAGTTGGTATGATCGCATCCCAAGGATTCGACGTAAGATAGGAGTGCCGATTGTCGACTACCTGACGCCCTCCCCCTTCTCCTTTATCCGGACTTGGGATCGGCAATGTAAGATAATAATACTAAGGGCCAATTTAACAGTACTAAGGGCCAGTTCGGTATTCTTTTGCTTTTATAAAAAAAATTGTTTTTGCTGTGTTGTGAGAATACACAGCTACATGTTTAGTAAAGGACATGTCGGAAAATGGTATTTATTTGTCTATTTGGCAAAAAGAGCCAACTTTGACAAAAGAATTTTAACCATAAAACAAAATATTGTGAAAAAATTACTTCAATGTATTGTAAACGGTAATATTTTGAATAGATGCCTACAATACCGTCAGCCAAATAATAGTTCCAACATAAACATCAGTAACCCGAAATTGTACAATACATTAGGTACTTGTATCAAACCAATTCACAAGAAGCCTCAAATAGCATAACAAGATAAGTTCACAAATACGATTTGTATGTACGCTTTAATTACTCATGTTTGAGTTTACAAAATCACCACTTGTTTCAATATCCTAAACATTGGGATCCAAATGATCAGAGATTCATGTCGCCGGTTCCAAATGAAAGGCCTACAAGCATTTGGGACCTCTAAAGTATTTCTTGCCACTTTTATTGACAGAAGTTTAATACTTTTGGGATGGATTATTTACACCATTGTGCTGTGGGGCTTTCTTCTCCCATTATTTCCATAGGTAAGTTCTCCAATAACCAAGTGTGGCTTGTTGTATCTAGGATTGTTATGATCACTTACCTCTTTGAATTTAACAATATTCGACGCTTCGATGATCTGTGGTTCATGATCCCCCTAACCATATCTACTTATGACGTCTAGAAAGAGAAATATTGTTCAGAAAAACGAATCAATTAGTGACGTTGTTAACTAATAAATCGTGATGTCAAGAACAAGACATGGCAACTCCAATGATTGACTTGAGATGAGCTGAAGAAACATGAAAAATTCTAGCAATAACAAGAAGAACGGATTGAAGTATGGGTTCGAACTCAAAGCTCGGCAATAAAAACCTCAAGAACATCAGGGCTAGCTACATATCCGAATAAAAGCCTCAGTGAATCAATTTTTTCAATTGGATCAATTTCAAGTGACAACAGAGAACCCTAGTCTAAATCTACTGCACCCAAATTAATTAACCCAAAAATAAAATCACAAAAACTAGACTGAAATATTGGGTTCAGTTACCTTGTCTCCCAAGGACAACTGGAGCGAGAGACCGACGGGAGAAGATGGGAGAGACGAACGACGGAACGAGAGGAAGGAGAAAGACAAGATATATGTCGTCATTTTCTAAAATAACTGAGGGTAATATAGGTAGTCCACTTTTTAGAGGACAAGGATTGTTTACCCTCCATTTTTCCAGAAACAGAGTTTTTCATGCCTTCCTTTGTGTGGTCACGGTTAAGTCACGTTAACATTTTATATTATTTTTTTATAAAGATAATAAGATAAAAATAAATAGTAATATAAAATATTGACGTGGCTTAACCGTGACCACACAAACAAGAGGGTTTGAAAGGGCATGAAAAAATGGAGGACAGACAATCCTTCTCCCTTTTTAAGAGCCGAAAAACTTACATAAACATTTCATCGTCTCCTAATTACTATCGTACGATAGGAATTAAATTCAAAACGTGCTATGTAAAATACGTCTCCAACCACTAACCACGCCGAGGTGAATCATTGGAAGGTGTAAAATCCTTTGAAATCTATCCTTTAAAAAAATTTATTAAAATCTCCTAAAATCCAAATTCACTACACCTGTAGGTTTCTCTCATTGGGAGGTGTAACAGACTGACCAACAGCAACCGCCAACAGTCTCCATTTCTGGACAACGTGAACGCGTAAGCTGCTGCCGCGTAGAAGGCAATTACGAGCACTGCCCGCTTGTTCTTCTTCCACTTTCTCGTTGCACACGCCAAAACCCACCTCAGCAAGTAGAGTACAGGAGTAGAGAGAGGAGGCCAAGCAAGTACATTTCACCCCACATTCTCGTTTCACACGCCAAAACCCACCTCAGCAAAGAAAACCCTTTTGCGTTCGTCGGCATAAGGAGTCAAATTTGACAGCTTTTTTGGGTACACGTTTGGATTTGGAGAGTGCCAATTAGAAGGAGCCAAAGCCAAGTCAGTCCACCTAACCGCGTCGGCAAACACAAAGCAGAGTTTGTTTCTTCTTCTTCTTTCCTTTCGCTTTGTTTGCGTTGATTGGTTTTGGTGGGCCTTGGATAGCTGCTGAACCTGCTGGCTGAGAGTTTGAAATGTTTTTGCTTTTCGTGTTGGAATACAAATCTTGTGTGGGGGTGATCTAAAACCCAATGATTTAAAACCCTTTTCGTTATTTGTTGAAATTTTGTAGAATCTGATTTGTCTTTAGGGGAAAAGGTAGGTGGAAATTTGACAAAGGGGATGTTTAGATTTTGGCAGAAAACTTACCAAGTATATCTCATTTTTATTGCTAATTGAGGTGATTTGATGGTCTGAGCTGTGCAGTTGAGGGTGTTGTGAATCTAAATCCAAAATCAGAAGTGGGTTGTTTCAAACTTTGTGTGTTTATTTGAATTTAGGGAGTTCGGTTTTGCAGCTTCGAAGAGCGAAGAGATCTTCTTGAGATTGGTTATTGACAGTTTGATTGTGGTTTCGCTTGTCGGAGAATATTAATATTGGAAGCATTTCTAGTGTCTTGTGAGCATTTGTTCGTGTAATTGACAGTGCTAGTCTTAAGTTTCTTGGAGTGGAGTTTAGAAGAAAATGGCTGGGAGTACTGATGGAGTGACCGATAAGGTCTACTCAAATGGGTTGATTCACCACTCAAGTGACTCTGTTGAGGAGAAGCTTGATGAGCTTCGGCATCTAATGGGGAAAGCAGAAGGTGATCCACTTCGGATAGTTGGTGTCGGTGCAGGTGCTTGGGGAAGTGTATTTGTTGCTATGTTGCAAGACAGTTATGGTCATTTGAGAGATAAGGTCCTAATAAGAATATGGAGAAGGCCAGGAAGATCTGTGGATAGAGCCACGGCAGAACATTTATTTGAAGTGATCAATTCAAGGGAAGATGTACTGAGGAGACTGATTAGGCGGTGTGCGTACTTAAAGTATGTTGAGGCAAGATTAGGTGATCGGACACTTTTTGCAGATGAGTTACTGAAAGATGGGTTTTGTGTGAATATGATTGACACCCCTCTTTGCCCTATGAAGGTTGTCACAAATTTGCAGGAGGCTGTGTGGGATGCTGATATTGTGGTGAATGGGCTGCCATCAACAGAGACTCATGTTGTCTTTGAAGAAATTAGTAGGTATTGGAAAGAGAGAGTAACAATGCCAGTCATCATATCACTTTCTAAAGGTGTTGAAGCTGAATTGGAGCCTGAACCGCGCATAATTACTCCTACTCAAATTATCAATCGAGCAAGTAAGACTGATTCCATACTTTTCTTGAATTGTTGGCAATGCACTGGTAGCTAAGTTTCTGATACCTATTTTTTCCTTGTGCATTTCTTATTCTTGGTTGTTTTCTATCTGTTTCAACATTTCAGGTGCTCGTTGATGCTGATTTAGTTACCTAGTGTGTTATATAATTGTTTTAATGATCCCTGCCTTGAGTTGAAGGCCTTGAGATTCTTAGTGGGGGTTTCTTTCTGATTATAAAAGTGATCTTTAGTAATTGTTTTATGCAATTAGAGTGGTTCATACTTGATAAAATGGCTGTATGGTTATGATAGATATCCAATCAATTAATTTCTTGGTAAGCTTTTGATCCTGGCTATTCTCTTCTCTTAATTTAATTTGTACTGTTTTTGCAGCTGGTGTTCCCAATGAGAACATTCTCTACCTTGGAGGACCCAATATTGCCTCTGAGATTTACAACAATGAATATGCTAATGCTCGGATATGTGGAGCTGACAAGTGGAGAAAGCCCTTGGCCAAATTTTTAAGGCAGCCCCACTTTATAGTGTGGGACAATGGTGACCTTGTTACTCATGAAGTTATGGGTGGCTTAAAGAATGTCTATGCCATTGGAGCTGGTAAGATTTTGTTCTTCACATATCCTATTTGATAAATGTTAAGAGGTTTAGAAGTTTTCTTGAATGAACCCTAAATGGTTGGACTGCATTGCAAATTAATGCATACTAGAATGACTAATTGTCTCAGGTGATGTAGTTTCATGAATTACAGAAGAGATGATAGTGAGAGAGAGACTACTTGTGATCAAGGAATTGCAAAAGATGTAAATATAGATTATGCTAAACCATATCTCACTGTAGTTTTTGGCAAAGCTGAAATATTAGTAGGCTTTGATAATCAACCACAAGGTGCTGCATTTTTGTGGATAAAGCTCAGTTAGTCTTGAAATTGTTTCATTCATATGTGAGTGTGTGTGGTTGGAATTCTAAAATTATCTGCACTTCATTGATTGAAGGCTATAACAGAGTGACTGGGTCATGTTTAGGCTCCAAAAGTTCATTGAATGCCTCACTAATTGAAAGCATGAGTAGTTGGTGGTTCAATTTTACCTCTTGATTCAGTGTCATATAGACCTAAGTATGCATGTTAGATAAGGAAATTCTTATGGACCTCAAATATCCGCCTCTTTATTCAGTCCTGTGTTGTTGGAATTTTAAATTATCTGCACTTAATTACCTTCTTTAGTGGATCGCATCACATGTCAATTGGAAGGTTGATATGTATCATCCTCGTCCCTTATGTTGCCCTGATGTATGTTAGTCATCTTTTTTATTTTGCGTACTAGTGCTATCCTTATACAATGCGACAATTATAATCAATTGATTTTATCTCACTTTTAAGAATGTTTATTTGAAGGCTTTAATGTTTAATCAATACATTAATCTTTAAATCATCACTAAACAGGAATGGTAGCAGCATTAACCAACGAGAGCGCCACAAGCAAATCAGTATACTTTGCACATTGTACATCAGAGATGATTTTTATCACTCATCTGTTGGCAGAAGAACCAGAGAAGCTGGCAGGACCTTTGTTGGCTGACACGTATGTAACCCTGTTGAAAGGTCGTAATGCATGGTATGGGCAACAGCTGGCCAAAGGGGAGTTAAGCCTTGAAATGGGTGATAGCATAAAGGGCAAGGGAATGATTCAGGTAAGGTCTCAATCACCTTCATATTCGTGACTTCACAAGCATGATCTTTGCGTTGTATTATTGTTATTGTTTAAAGAAATATGGGCTTTGAACATGAACATAGAGAATTGACTAATAGGTTAATCTTTGTGAGGATTATAATGACAAGTGATAGCGATCACGAATCACATTCCAAAGAGTTATTTGATAAAACGATGTTCTGATGGCCGATAAATCATCAACATATTGGACCTTGCTGATTCTGCAGTTTAATGCTACATACATTCGTCGCATGAAGTATCACATCATATCATATCAAATATACAGTTTTTCTGTCGTGTGACTGCTTTCTGTTGGATCTCTTGACGAAGAAAAGAAAAACTCTGTTTGGAGGTCGGCTGATGAGAATCCTACTTTTATCTTACAGGGTGTCTCTGCTGTGAAAGCATTTTTTGAGCTGCTAAGTCAGCCCTCTTTAAGTATCCTACATCCCGATGAGAAGAAGCCCGTTGCCCCCGTTGAGCTTTGCCCTATCTTGAAGATGCTATATAGAATTCTCATAATAAGGTATTGCTTTTCTACATTCCAAATGAAATTAAGACAACTGCATTTTGACCAAGTTGGTTGAATTTAATGTGAATCTTACTAGAAGTGAATTTGATGTTGTCTCGTTATGTATATCTTTAGGGAGTTCCCGCCACAGGCTATTCTTCAAGCGTTAAGGGACGAGACCATGAACGACCCTCGGGACCTTATTGCAATCGCACAAACCCATGCTTTTTACAGGCCATCCCTTCTTGGTCAGCAGCTTTGATGTGAATTCTCTCTCCTTTGCATGTAATTTTATTAGTTCTCAAGCATGTAGCAAGAAGCACTGGCGTTGTGGTTTTGTATAGCAGTCTGCCGCGTGAATAATGTCTCAGGAGAACGCTTGGTTATCGGATGGTTTTTCCGATGGTGAATTTTGTTTTGGCAGTAAACCCAGAATTTAAGACCTCTCACTAACCATAGCATTAAATGATGATATTGGAAATATCGGCAGTTAAAAAACACGGAAATTTCTATGGAAATATCGGGATATTATCGATATCGATAAAAATTGAATAAAAACCACGGAAATTGTAAGAACTTTGCATGATGTTTATTTAGTCAATTATCTATTAGTTTATTATAAAAAATTGGAAGGAAATGCATTGCATGATGGATTTAACTGATTTAAGTTGATTATATAGTGAGCTGGTAAACATTGTGAGTGTAGAAAATATGTAGTAATTAATAAAAGAAGTTTAAACACACCATAATCATTTATATATAATGAATTAGTACAATATTTTACACTTTATACATTGCATAGTAAGATACATGAGTGATTTAGTACCATATAGAGTTTTTATCAAGGTTTAAAATATCGATGATATCGGAAATATTGGTAGTTCAAAAATACTGAAATTTCGATAAAAATATCGGGATAATATCGATATTTTAGACCTTGGACGTAGTTAAATTGGCTGACGGTATGTTTGTTTTTGCACCCAAATTCAGTACCCCTCTGTGGCTCTCTGTTAGGGCCGTAAATCGATTCGAAACAGTTGTTTGGCCCGTCAAAAAAATCCAACCTAGATTGGCTCGATTTTATGACAAGCCAACCTTGAACATTAGTATGTTTGGCTCTTAAAGCTCGTGAGTAGCTCGAAATTTTTTACGAAGGAGCTCGAAGTAAGGATTGAGCTCGGCTCAATCCTTCACGCTTGACACGTAATAAAATATGGTTTAAGGAAAACTAATGAAAATGACTTGAAGACTTTGAGTTTTAATGATAAGGACAAAATAAAGAGTAAAGTAAATAGTATCATGTTTGACTTTTTAGAATAAAAGTATGGTTTTTCGTTAAAGTGAACAGTACCGTGAACTTTTCGTTAAAATTCTCTAAAATATATGAAAAAAAAATATCATCCAGTCTTGATTAGACGTGGTGTAATCATATTATTTTATTTGCCTAATACGTATTTAGAGGCCCAAGTCAAACAAACTCAGCTAACAAAACAAGTTGGCGCCCAAAGAACCCTAAACATTCAAAAGCCAAAGTCCTATTGCCGAGTTGTTCATTGTTCCAAGTACTTATGTCTACTTCGAAAGGTTTACGCTTCTTACCTTAAAGTAGTGTGTTTGAAAGTTTTGGATAGAACTTTTTATGTTTTATATGATCTATTATTGACATGTACTGCCATGTAACAAAATTGTTTACACAATCCAACCAACTTACAATAGAAAATAGCTCGAAATAGTTTGTGATTGGTATCGAGCTTGAACATATGAAGCTCGCTAGAGCTCGGCTCATATAAGTAGCGAGTCAAGCCTGAGCTCAATAATTGTTAAACCAGTGAAATTTAAGCACAATGATATTCAGTTCGACTCCCTCATTTAGAGCCCTCCTCTTTGTAATTTAAAACTTTAAATTAGATTATATTATCAATGTCTAACTACAATGATACGTCTCACTCAGTGGTACAGATATACATAATTAAACCGTTTGATTTTTCGGACCACTAAGTAATACTTTCAATGAAAGAAAAATTAAATATAGAGAAAATTGTAGCAATGATCCTTATAACTTTAACCCAATTAGAGCAATTGTCTCCCAACTAAAAATTCATGACCATTGGTCTCTTAACTTATTAAAACGTGTAGCTATGATAATTGTCGTCAACTCCATTAGAATTCTTTCAAAATAACTCATGTTGAAAGAACGGTTACTCCAATTGGGTTAAAATGAGGGACTGTTGCTCCAGATGGGTTAAAGTGAGGAACTGTTGCTCCAATGAGGTTAAAGTTTAGAGACTATTTCTCTAATCGGGTTAAAGTTGAGGAATCATTGCTACAATTTTTTCCATTATTTGGTTTTCTATATTTGCCCCTTGATTCAGTCTCACGGGCATAACACGTGACTAAGTTTTAACGAATTTGACGAAAAAAACAATAGCTACACGTTTTGATAAGTAAAGGGATCAGTAGTCAAAGATTTTTAGTTGATGAACAATTTCTCCAATTGTGTTAAAGTTGAGAACCATTGTTGCAATTTCTTCTTAAATATAATATGCAAATTTATGCCAATAAAGAAAGAGAAAAAAAAAATACTGCAGAAGTAGCAGCGTTTTTATTACCGAGCAGGCCAAAATAACAGCGGAGACGGAAGAGGCATAGAGTGAAAGCGTGAAAGAGAAAAGCCGAAAGATGTCGTTGGTGGACTACCCATCTTCAGACGACGAAGTACCGGAGGAGGAGGAGGTTAGGGAAAACAAGGAAAACGAGCCACAACAACAAGTTCCCAGAGACATTCCGGGTCTTCCGACTCGTCCTCACACCCAGTAATTTCTTCAATTTCTTTGTTAAAGTTGTAATCTTTTACTTCTTTCGAATTTATCACTATTTTTTTATGATTTTATTTATTTGTTTATGATATTCTGAGTAATTTTTATTGTTTTTGTTCAATTTGTAGAAAAATTGTGTTGGGATGCTGTTATTTTTGCGTATTTGAGTTGTAAATAAGAAAGGAAAATTCAAGGATTATGGGAAGAAGCATATTGTAATTAGCTTAATTACAATGAGGGTTATATCCCCTCTTTAGGAAAATTTAAACTTTTCTCTTTTTAGAAACGATATTCTACACTAAATTCATCTAAACAATATTCCACACTGCTCTAGTCAACTTGGCTAACTCCCGGTCTGCCGGAAAATTAAAACTTAGAGATAGGCACAGTATACAAGAGAATTTCATTTTTTTTAATTTTTCTTGGGTGTCTATGTTGGTTGACAGAATGGTGTTGCATAATGTTGTATTAAATGAGGGTTTTTCTTAGCAGTCCTAAATTTTTACAGCTCGGAAAATAGTCACAGTGTTTTATATAAGCTTCTCCTTCCTCGAGTTGAATTTTAATTTGGTATATTTTTTTCTGTGTAATAGATCAGTTGTTTTATCACACCAGCAGCCGGAAAGTTCTGCCCGTTCATCAGCTCCTTCAATCCAGCAACTTCCTGATGCTTCGCTGCTCTTGAATTCTCCTGTTTTCTCATCCAATATGGTGAGTGGCAGCGACCACTCTTCTCGTGTTGCAGCTGCAATGGCTGAGAGTTCATCACGTAAGAGAGAGTTGAATGCATTTGCTTCCTCTGTTCCCCGCACTAAAGTTCCCAGAGGTAGCTTGCCTCATTCCAAGAATGTTCCAGATACAGTTGGTGGTCTGCTGGTTCCGCCTCAGCTTAGTGGAAGGTCAGTTTGAATATCTGGAATTTAAATTCTGCTTTTGTTTAACTGTTTAGCTATACTCACATACTCTTTTGTATGCTTTCATAACTTGCAATATGAGCTTTAATTTCTTGAATATTGCATCTTAAGTTGCTTAATCTGAGTAATCACAACTTCAGAATTCATGCAGTCATGATTTGGGATTTAAATGCTAACTTGCTATGTTGTTTTTGGAATCCCAACTAAACTCGGTTCACATAGAGATCATGCTATGACGATATTGAAAGGGAAAAAAAGTTTATAGATTTGTGTTAGCAATGAGTTTTGGTGAATAAATTATACGATTACAACGAGTGAATAGAGTGTGAAGTTGTACTTTAAAGTTTAAATTAGAAAAATTTATCCCTCATAAGTTCAAAACTCTTCCATATTCTCTGCAGTTACTTGTAATATTTACATGAGAGAGCCATATGCTGTATAACTTAAGACTTTTAATGAAATGGACTCTTTTTAATGGGTAAAAATTGCACACATGGAGTGTGCAGTAGTGGCTTAACACTTAACAGTCATGATGACTTAGTTGAGTGGACTCATTTTAAGTTGGTCTGTAATAAGAATCCTGCTCCACAACTCTATATTCTTAGGGTTCCGCAGTACTTGTATTGGTTCATCCTTTTGCCTTTGCTTTTACATGAAAAGATGTATTTGGGTTGCTTACTACTGCGCCATATTTGATTCCGTGACTGGATACGTTCTTCATGGGATACTCCTCGGAAAACATTTGTTAAGTCTGTCTTCAACTGTAAAGGGCCAGGTTTGTGTATTTGAAGGTCACTGTGCATAAATCTTGCTAAAACGATGGCTATGTTAAAGAATTTGTAGGTATAGATCAAATACAATTTTCTTGTGTTTGGTAAAGTTTGGAAATTGATTACAATTCTAAAACTGTTGGTCCTTTTTCTTCCTGATGGTGGCAATCCCTGAACTTGGCGTATTGTATCTGTTGAGCAACATTAAATATGCCAACTTTGTTATACGTCAGAGTTTTTGTTCTCATCATCGTTTTTTTCTCTTTTTTGGGTCCAGGAGCAACATTGTAACAGAAGATGTAGGAAAGCTATTTGTCAAAAAGCAAGCTGACCATTCACCAAAGTAGACGATATCTAAAGGGGTGATGATGTAGTAGGAGTCTTAGTTTATGTGGTTTCTTTTTGTTGTTTTGGAATGAGAGTCGGGATAATGTCTTTCAGAATCACATCAACTACTGAGGATTTTAGTTGTGTACAATATAAAGAATGTTAGAGGACCCTTGTATTGTATTTTTGTTCTAGCTTGCCTTAGTTGTGCCACAACAGTTAATTAGTTCTGGATCAATGAGTCAATGACAATTATGTTTTGAGAGATCGAAAAGTAGATTTTTCTGCTTCTGATGTTTTTTTTCTTTTATTTATTATTATTATTTTTTTCTTTTCATTTATGAGGCATGCTTGGCCGTGAGGCACTGGAGTTGTAGGCTTGTAGCTTGTGAGTTTCTGGAGCGACTCAAAATTTAAAGCAAGTTCAATGCCTTGTCCAATTTGATGGTCTATTTCCCTTGATTTGATGAAGAAATTGTTTCCTTTGGTCTGATCAAATGGCTTACCCTTGGATTGTTGCTCATAGAAAAAGCAAACCCTTCTTGAAAGGTGGTATTAGAGTATTCATGGTATGGCTGGTGATATCATCACTCTTGTTAGTAGAACATCATCTCCGAATGGAGTTTAGTAGGTAACAAACCCGAAAAGAAATGTCCCCTAGACTTTTTGCGCATCAAATTTTCTGTGTGAAAATGAGATTAGGAAACGGTTTCTTCATTCTTTTTAACTAGAAGAAATGGCTTCTCGTTCATTAGTTTAAGTTCGATTTACCTATAATTGTATGTAAATAACATTTTTGTACACATTTTATGACTGCAGTGCTGTAATTCCCAATACTCTTTTCTTCTTGTTACTGTTTTTATTCATCTTCACATGAATCCTCAGTTCTTCACCCCAAAATATTGATTAATACTCACAATTACTTGATACCGTCGAAAGAAAACTACGAGGCCTGAGCTTCTCTTGCCAAGAAGATGTTCTTCTCACACAGGGATGGCTTGCAACCAACATGGATGTCGTGCACATAAAAGGTCAATCAAAGACTACTTATTGGGGGCGAGTGACGGATTATTTTCACAGCTACAAAACATTTGCAAGTGATCGAGAGGAGAGGTCACTACTACAACGGTGGTCAGCTATTCAACAAGCAACCAAGAAGTTTTGTGAGTATGTTACTCAAGTGGAAGAGAAGCACAAATACGGCGTGAATGGGCAAGATAAGGTAATCTTCTTTTTCTCAATGTTATTTATGGTAATCATAGTTTGGTAGATTTAGTAATGATCTTTTTTTCTTCTTCTTTGGGCAGTTTTTATGCGAAACAGTTATACGAAAAATTGGAAAAGAAAAAATTTCCTTTTGATCATTGTTGGAAGCTGTTGAAGGATGCGCCAAAGTGGTTGGATGATATGCGGAAGCCCAGGAAAAAACCAACAAATAGAGGAAAAGGTACAAGTCTCGCTCCTGAATTCTCTTCTCCTTCTACTTCAGAGAGTTTGATAGGTCTTGTAGAGGACGACGTCCCAAATACTGAATCTGGGAACACAGAGAGGAAGAATGTCCCAAATACTGAATTTCGGAAAAAGGAGAGACTGCAAATAAGGAAGGATGCCCCAGATGGTAATTCTGGGAACAGGGAGAGACTACTTATTGGGAATGATGCCCTGAATAGTGATGTTTGGAACAGGGAGACACCACCGAAAAGGATGGACATCCCAAACACTGGTATTGGGGATATGGACGTCCTAGTTACTGATTTTGGGAATACGGAGAGACCACCCATGAGGAAGGATATCCCGAATACTGATTTTGGGAGCATGGAGAGACCACCAATAAGGACAGACGTCCAAAACACTGATTTGGAGAACATGGATGCCTCAATTACTGATGTTGAGAACATGGAGAGACCGCCATTAAGGAAGGGCATCCCAAATACTGATTCTGGAAACATGGAGAGACCAACGACAATGATGGACGTCCTAGATGCTGATTTTGGGAGCATGGAGAGACCACCAGTAAGGCTGGTTGAGAAACAAAAGATCGAAGAAAACCAAAAGAATGACGATGCAAATAAGCAAGCCGTGGATCTCCTACACATGATGGAGGAATGGAGAGACCAAGTTAATGAAGAGAAAAGGCAATATCGGTTAGAGAAATTAGAGATGCTTAGGAGAGGCTTGAGATGGATAAGGAGAGGCTTGAGATGGATAAAGAGAGGCTTCGACTCGACCGTGAGGACAAAGAGGAGAGAATAATGTTGATGGATACAAGTATAATGCCTCATCAGCTTCAACAATACTATCATCGACGTCGAATGGAAATTCTTGCTAGAGGAATGGGTGGTGTCTGAAGATTACTTGTTGCTTTGTAATTATTTGCTATCTCAGCGCACCTTCTTTTTTCCTTTGATAGTCAAAACTAGCGTTATATTTAGCCTCGAACGTTCATCTCGCTCACTACTCTCACTGCAACCCAATCTTACTTACCTAGGAGATTCTCCACTGCTTTCTCTAAAGCTTTTGATTCTATCAGGGGCCTAGCTCCTTTCAATTCAACTGAGCGGGAGGAAAGGGGTAGGTTGCTTTGGCGGCCGCAGCCCGGGTCTTGGTGCCTACTGGCTCGCCTAGTACCTTAGGACACAAGTTAAGTTTTCACCCTTTCGGTGTCTTAAAATGTAGTTAACAACTTAACAGCAAAGAGGTTAATAGTTGAAAAATGAAAGCAAACTGTATAAAACTCAGCCTGCAAGTAAATATTAATCCTCCTGGGTTTTCCTGCTCCCAAAAATACAGTTCCCAGATCAAGTGTGTATAAATTGAATTTGAATAAAGACAGCGAAATGGCGAAAGGAAGACCGATTTCTAGCTGATCTCAATGCAGACTGAAATGTACAACAAAAAATGACGAGAAATGGTGTCCAAAAATGTTGCGCAAACATGCAACGAAACAATGAAGAGATTCCTCCAAAATTCTGCACAATAATCATTCACGAGCAAGCTGTTTCGATCTTTCATGCATTGTCAGGGCCACGGAGGAGAGGTTCGTAGACATCCTCGTGATCCCGAGGAGCTTGTTGTTTCATGACAGAAACAGGAATGAACTTGACGACGACAGCGACGAGCAAACTTACAGCGCCGATCAAGACGCTTGTTAACCACAACTCCCAGCTCAGTGGCACGGTTTGTGCAAACTTTCCCAAGAATTCAACGATGATGATCTGGAAAACAACGGTGGAGATCATCACCATCATGAAGGTGTAACTGCTGAACATGCCACTGAACACATTGATCTTCTCCATATCACGGCTGTTTATCTCGTTGAATACCTGCAATACATGCAAAATTATATCCCCTTTGAACAAAGAAAATAAAATATCAGATTTAAAAAAAAAAAAAACTAATGAAAAGGGCTTGAAAACTTTAAATTTTAACGATAAAGACAAAATAAGGGGTGAAGTGAATAGTACCAGGATTGACTTTGTAGAGTAAAAATATGGTTTTTCATTAAAGTGAACAGTACTGGAAGCTTTTCGTTAAAGTTCCCTAAAAAAAAAGCCTGTAAATATCTATTGTAAATGACCAATTTACCCACCACGTTTGACGTCATCCACATTTTATAGAGACGACACATTTGAGAAAGGAAAAAATAACAAATAACATTTAATTGCAGGCCATTCCTGGGCATAACATTGACCAAAACAAAAAGTTCAGAAGGAAAATCAACGGTAAGGTACAACAAGTTGATGGGGAAATTGGCGAAATACTCATAAAAAACTTGGGAAAATCTGATGCAATGTTTCTGAAAATAATTTGATAATTATTTTAATAGCTGAAACAATCATGAATTAAACAGATAAGAACAAAAATAGTACAATGTATATGTAAACACGAAAATTCATGTAACGAATAACAGTAGTACCTGGCAAAACACAAAAGAGTTGAATATGACGGTATTGAGAACGGAATTTGCATCGGAACCAGTTAGCTTCAAAAGCCGGAGTCCGCAAAACTTGAGAACCAGAAGGACAGCAATTTGGTAGATACTCTGGCCAACAATGTTCCTCCACATGATCCCGGTTATGAACTTGACGTTCCTTCCGACCGGTGGTCTTTTCATTAGACCCTCGTTTGGTGGCTCCGTAGCCAGCGCCAAAGCACCAAGAGTATCCATGATCAAGTTCACCCAAAGCATCTGGACAGCCGTGAGAGGCGCGGATCCTGAAAGTTATTTCGCACGATCATTACCGCCTGCAATGCATTTGGTAAATATGTACGTTGAAAGGTTTTGAAGTAGTTCCGCAGATGAACAAACCTGAGACGCATGCTGAAACGAAATTGAGCATCAGAGCTGCGATGTTAACTGTTAGTTGGAACTGTACAAACTTTTGAATGTTGATGTAAACCGCCCGACCCCATCTTGCAACGTTCACTATGCTTGTAAAGTTGTCATCCATTATGATAACATCGGCATTCTCTTTCGCAACCTGTGGACCGGCAGACGTTTAGCCGATTATTAGCATTTAAGAAGAAACCAAATTGTGTAGGATGAGGTTTGTAACAAACCTCCGTTCCCGCAATACCCATGGCAAGTCCGATGTCTGCCTCGTGCAGCGCAGGAGCGTCATTCGTCCCATCACCAGTTACTGCCACAACTTCTCTAAGCTCATTCCTCAACTGTTTCACCAAGGTGTGCTTGTCCAAAGGCAAGGATCGAGCCATTACCTGCACAGAGAAAATTTCACTAATTTCCTGACAGAAAATTCATCCGGAAACTACTTCCCATTGATACAAATGTGAATTTAATGTTAAGAAGTTACTAAAGCAATAGAAAAACTAAAACCTGCAGTTTCGGAATTATTTCCGCCATCTCCTGTGAGCTCTTATTTCGGAAATCTGGCCCTTCTATAGCCAAACCACCTTCTGTCAAAATACCACACTCCGTAGCTATGGCTTTAGCCGTATTAATATTGTCACCGGTGACCATCCTTACAGTAATCCCAGCATCTAAACAAGTCTTCACTGCTTCCCTCACTCCTGGACGCACAGGATCCTTGATTCCAACAACAGCTATTAACGTATATTTATCGTCAGGAATACTGTTTTCACTAGAGGAATCATCTATATTCTTGAAAGCTAAGCATAGAGTTCTTAAAGCTTCACAAGCAAAACCATTTATGATATCTGAGATATTCGTTCTTTGCTCGTCTGATAGAGGCACAGCTTCACCATCAGTGCCAACAACATTATCACACATTTCTAAGATTATTTCTGATGCTCCTTTGCAGAATGCTCGTTTCTTTCCTCCATCAGGTAGAGCCACTAGCACCAACATCTTTTTCCTGACTGAATTGAATGGTTCAACCGTAAGTATCTTATAATCCTCACTGTAAGATTTAAAATCACCTCCCAGAAGCATTCCAAATTCAATTATCGCCGTCTCTGTTGGAGTCCCCATAATGCTATTCTTTCCATCTTCCCCCTTGACTACCTCCGCGCTTGTATTCAGAAAGATGGACTGTAAAAGGAGGTTATGTACTCCTTCAGAAGCTGACTTCAACACGTCATTGTTCTCATTACTCGTTATAGTCTTGGTTTCGTTACAGACCCATATCTTGTTCACAACCATATGATTTGTTGTCAAGGTTCCAGTTTTATCTGTGCAAATACAAGTAGCAGAACCCATTGTCTCACATGCAGAGAGATGCCTCACAAGTGCTTTATCCGACATGAGTTTTTTCATTGCAAAGGCAAGACTTAATGTCACTGCCAGAGGTAGCCCTTCTGGGACTGCAACAACAATTATAATGACGGCAGTCGAAAAGTAATTCAAAAGCATTTGTGCATCTTTGGAAGACCAGTCTTTCATGTGATGGTGAACCGCCTTGTTTACTAAAAACCTTGAAATCAGAACTATAAATGTCAGCACCGCGAAAGCCAAACCAATTTTTCCGATAATGGTTGCAACTCCATTAAGTTTCACCTGCAGTGGTGTCTCATTGTCTCCCCCTTCACTCAGAGTAACCATTAGTCGTCCCCATTCGGTCCTCATACCAACTGATGTCACCAGCATTTTACCAGAACCATCTTGCACTTTGGTTCCTGCAAGAAGAAAAGGTCTATCTTGATTTATGTCCACTGGCTCACTCTCGCCTGACAAGCTTGATTCGTCGACTTGTAAGCTGTGGCCTGATATGAAAATACCATCAGCTGGAACTTGATCACCGATTGAAAGATGAACAATTTCTCCAACCACCAAATCGTAGATAGAGACCTTCTGTCTACGTCCGTCTCTAGTCACCTGAACCATTATGTTTTTCTTCTCCTTGTCCAGTTCTTTAAATTGCAGTGACTGCTTGTAGTCGCTAATTGCAGTCACCAACACTACTAACAATATGCTAACTATTATTCCCAAGCCATCATACATACCTTTCGGCATTCCTTCAGTTGCAATTCCAACACCTATAGAGACCGCAGCAGCAACCATGAGGATAATTAAAGTTAAATCTTGTAAGGCTTCCCAGAGAAACATCAAGAAACCTTTAGAAGGTTTCTCTGCATATCGGTTTAAGCCAAATATATTCTGCCTAATAGGTATCTTGCTTGAAACAACACCATCTTTCAGCGATACAGAAACCTCTCCTGCTAATCCTGATACTCCTCCGTGTCCTTCCAAACCCTTCGTATCATGAGATCGAGCAAAGGATGCAATTTCTTCAGGATCAATGCCAAAACCAGCATCTTTTACTTCTTTGGAAAGATTATATCCCCCACGATTGCCAGCTGAATTGTACAAAAAATTATACATGACTTAGAAAGGAATCAGAAGTTTGAATGAAGGAGATGTAACTATATAAGAAGGATATAATACCATCGATGAATTGCAATGCCGCTTTTTGTACGTAAAGAGCTACACGTATCTTTTCCTGACAAGAATCAACAGAAGCATAGCGAAAATGGTAGATTAAGAAAATAATTAAAACCAGTATTCAGAGTTAAATGAACACGCTTTTCATGCTTAGCAGATGCCTAAAGCCATCAAACCTGATGCAAAACAATCTTGATGCAGATATAATCATATATTATATATCTATTTAACATTGATAAGCCTAAATTTCCTGCCATTGAAGTATTGTTTGATTGAAATACTAGTCTGATGTGCTGACACTGCACGCCATCCTCACACAAGCATATAAATTTTTTCCTTATCAAATGAAAATCCCGACTTTATCAACCTGAAACCTTCATTCCTTTGATTTTCATTCATTTTCTGTCACACTATGAAAGCGCGACGCTTTCAAATGGAGGTAACACAAAATCAACGAAACAGACACCAAGAAAGGCCATTTTCTGAACAATGTGCAGCTTCATGGCATCTGTGGTTGGATTTTTACCTCAATACACATTATGGGAATTTGAGCCTCTTCGTCCCAATTT